ACCTTTTTACTCCCCCCTCCCTCCCACCGGGGGACCAAATGAAAGCCCGGGGGGGATCCAGAACCTTGTTTTCGGGGCTTCTTTCTTCTGGAGTGGTTAATGGGGGCTTAGTTCAAGCCCGGGTAAGTTGCTCATTTAAAAACCCCTTTCCCCTTCTGCCCCCGCTGCCCTCTGGAAGAGGCAAGAAGCCAAACCCTTCTTGACTCAGGTCGGCCTGCCTGATGACCATTTTTTTTTAAGCTCCAGGCTTTAATTTTTCAAAACTTAATGAGCTTACTGAAAAGCCCCAGCCAGCGATGGGGCCATCCATCCTCCTGGTGCAGGACAGGGAAGCCATGTCTAACATTCCCTTACAGCCCTCTGCACCAGGGACCCTGCCGTGTCCTTCACATGCTTAGGGAGGCATGGACAGATGTGCGTGGCCCTTAATGGAGGACTTTAGCCTCAGGGTGGCCTGATCCAGGCAGGGATGCTTTATCCAGCCCTATCGATTTTGTGCCCAAAAAAATCAGTACAGGTTCTAGATAGAGAAGCATTTTCAAATTGTTCTCAATTTGTAAACTAATTGATAGATTAGTCAGTGTCACCTCTGCCTTCCCATCAATGTTATGGGCATGAGACTCCCTGGGGAGTTAATTAATTCCAAAGCATGACCTTTCTGTCTTCCCTGGACATGCCCGGAGCCTCTTAGAAAGGGTCTCAGCTCCAGGGGCGGGGTGGGGGGGGGTGGGGGGGTGGGGGGGGGCGGAGAGAGTGTATGGGATTCAAAAGGGCAGGAAAAGTACCTCCACTCAGAGCATGGACATGGTTCCTCCTTCTGTCCTTAAGTCTAGCCTGTGTCTGTCCCTTTGCACAAAACCTGAGCTGTGATCATTTCTCTGCTTCCTCCCAAAGAACCCTTCCGTGCTGTCCCTCAACCCCGTCCGCGGCCCAGAGTCCGGAGGCACCATGGTGACCATCACGGGCCGTTATCTTGGAGCTGGGAGCAGCGTGGCTGTGTACCTGGGCAACCAGACCTGCGAGTTCTATGGGTGAGATGCGCTCGAAGGAGCGCTGGGAGACTGTCCTTGTGTGGCCTGTGCATGCTCACACATGTGTGCACATGTTCCTGTGCATGTCCACACATACATATGCATTTGTGTGCAGGTCCACACATATGTACACACGTTCCTGTGCATGTTCACACATATATACACATTCGTGTGCAGGTTCACACATATGGACACACGTTCCTGTGCATGTTAACACATATATACACATTCGTTCGTGTGCAGGTTCACACATATGGACACACGTTCCTGTGCATGTTAACACATATATATGCATTTGTGTGCAGGTTCACACATATGCACACACGTTCCTGTGCATGTTCACACATATATACACATTCATGTGCAGGTTCACACATATGCACACACATTCCTGTGCATGTTCACACATATATATGCATTCGTGTGCAGGTTCACACATATATACGCATTCATGTGCAGGTTCACACATATGGACACACGTTCCTGTGCAGGTTCACACATAATGCACACACGTTCCTGTGCATGTTCACACATAGGCCTGCCTACCTCCATCCTATGTGCTGCATCCTTGACCCAAACACCATTCTGGTCGCATAGCACTAGTCCGTTTACACCTCATGAATCACAGAGCTGGGTACTTCTAAAAATAATGAGAAGTGAGAGCCCTGAGACTGCTGATGAGAAAGGCCCCCAGGAGCTGTCCCGTCACCATCAGGCCACACGTTCATTAGGTCCCCACTGTGGTTACTTGAGAAACATGGACATTGCATGGCCTCGGCCCTCAGCAAGCCAGACTCATCCTCAGGACATCTCTTAGGCATAAAAAATTGAACACCTACTATTTGTCAAATACATTGAATGGGGGTGAGAGAATTCTTAAAGAATCCATGGATGATAACCCAACTTGCCCAGTATTTGATAATCTCCTCCTTGGACCATCAACTCCCTAAGGGCAAGAACTGATTGTTCACTTTTCTGCATGGTAGGTGCTCAACGAATATTTATTTATTTATGTATGCATTTATATGTTTTTAAATATTTTTACTGATTTCAGAGAGGAAGGAAGAAGGAGAGAGAGAGAGAAACATCAATGATGAGAGAGAATCATTGATCGGCTGCCTCCTGCACGCCTCACACTGGGGATCGAGCCTGCAACCTGGGCATGTGCCCTGACCGGGAATCGAACCATGACCTCCTGGTTCATATGTTGACACTCAACCACTGAGCCATGCCTGCTGGGCTCAATGAATATTTATTAACTGACTGACTAGACTCTAAGCATCAGTTAAATAGTCATTTTCTAGAAAAATCCAGAAAAGAGAGTGAAGCTCGTGAAGCCCAGCCCCTGCCTCATTCTCTAATCCCCTTCTCCAGCCGCTCCCTCCTAATTGAACCAGAGTTGGAGGTCAGGGAAAGAGGATACTGACAAGGGAGGTGTTCTGTAGTATACAGTACACGGGACCAAGGACACGTCCTGGCCACACCCTCGGACTGAGGCAAGCCCCTTTTTCCAGCAGAGGGCACCCCAATTGCCCCCGCCTTTCTTCACAACCCTCCTGCTGTCTCCCCACCAGGCGGTCAATGAATGAGATTGTGTGTGTCTCACCCCCATCGTCCAATGGCCAGAGCTGTGTTCCTGTCTTCGTGAGTGTCGACCGAGCCCGTGTGAACAACAGCCTGAAGTTTGAGTACATAGGGGACCCCCAGGTGCAGAGCATCGAGCCAGAGTGGAGCATCGCCAGGTGAGGCACGGTGTGGAGGAATGCACCGCATGGCATGAGCCTCTCAGCCCAAGTATGGCTTGTGAGAGGATCCAGGGGTGAGGTGGTGGCCATTTGAATTTTACCTAACCTAGCCTCTGCTTGTTCCCAGTGGCCACACACCCCTGACCATCACAGGCTCCAACCTGGATGTCATTCAGGAGCCAAGGATCCGAGTCAAGTTTAATGGCAAAGAATCTGTCAATGTGAGTAACCACTGGTCTGCCTGGCCCTCGGCAAACATTGGTTGTATCAGTGTTTTGTAATGTGCTGAGCTCTGTGCTGGGCACTGGACGTAGGAGAAGAAAGGTGGCTCAAGACTGAGCCCAGAATCATGTCCCCAAATGCCTGAGCCTGACAATGATTTTTATAATTATGGCACTAGAGGCCCGAGGCACGTGCAAGAATGGGCCTTCCTTCCCCTGGCTACCAGCACCGCCTTCACTCTGGCTGGAGCTGCTTTTCCGCCTTCCCATGCTGCCCAGGGCCCTAAGCGGCTGGGGCGGTGTGGAACGCCTGTGTCGTTGCCATGATGACAATGCAAGCGCCCAGCCCCGCCCCTGGCCACTCATCGTCTGTGTATACATATTAACTGCCATTGTTGTTGGGTTAATTTGCATACTCCTGATTGGCTGGTGTGTGTTGCAAAGGTATGGTCAATTTGCATCTTTCTCTTTTATTAGTGTAGATCAGTGATGGTGAACCTATGACACGCGTGTCAGAGGTGACACACGAACTCATTTTTTTGGTTGATTTTTCTTTGTTAAATGGCATTTAAATATATAAAATAAATATCAAAAATATAAGTCTTTGTTTTACTATGGTTGCAAATATCAAAAAATTTCTATATGTGACATGGCACCAGAGTTAAGTTAGGGTTTTTCAAAATGCTGACACACCGAGCTCAAAAGGTTCGCCATCACTGGTGTAGATAGTCATTTCTTGTCGGATGGTGATATAATGAGTGCATCGACCTAGTGCCTTCTGAGCTTAAGATGCAGCACAAAAGGGCTCTTGCTGTGTGACATGCTCACTCTGAGGTCTGATAAGCAGCAGTGTTGTGAGGGGGTGAAGGAGTTCTGACTCCAGATTCAGGTACTTCTGGATCGGAAGCAGGGCACTGCCATTGATTAGCTGAACAACCATGATCAAGTCATCTAACCTCTCTGATCCTCCATCCCCGTCACTTCATATGGTGCTAAGACTCGTGTGCAGATTGGTCACCTGCAGCCATTGGCCCCCACGAGGTTGGCACTTGACAAATGGTAGTCACTGCATGCGAATAAACCCATGCTGGTTGCTAAGATGATCAGGTTGAACATTTTACTTTACTCCTCTGAGCAGAGCCATGTAATTCAATTTCTTTCATTATGGATTTTTTGTGATTTTAAAGAAGTTTTCTATCATAAGGGTAGAATGTCTGATATGTTATAAATATTTTAGTTTGTTCTAGTGGCTCTTCTTGGCCAATATTTTCTGAAACGATATTGTATTTATAATTATAGTCCAGGAGATGCTGGCACTATGAATTATGGCCATTATTTTTCAAATAAATGGCTATCATTACTGCTTCGACCTTCGGGGGGTTGACGAGGCTGAGATGCTGATGGGGAGGATGGCTCTATGTCTACCTTCATCTCTGACACATTCCCGGAGTGCTTGAGGCTTCCTTAGGAAACAGAAATGCACTAAATGACAGGATGCTAGAAGGCTGGACCTGGAGGCTCTCAGGGGTCATCTGGACCCACCCCCTCACAGCTGAGGAAACTGAGGCCAGAAAGGAATAATGACTTGTCCCAACCATGCAGATGACTGGTGGCAGGACCAAGCTAGATCCCAAATATCTGGACTTTTTAAAAAATATATATATTTTTATATATTTCAGACAGGAAAGGAGAGGGAGAGAGAGATAGAAACATCAATGATGAGAGAGAATCATTGATCAGCTACCTCCTGCACACACCCCCACTGGGGATGAAGGTGGCAACCTGGGCATGTGCCCTGACCGGGAATCGAACCCTGATCTTCTGGTTCATAGGTCGATGCTCAACCACTGAACTCCTTCATAACTAAACCACATGAGATGCTCCTAGACTTGGAATTCCATCATGCCAGGCGTGGGGACACCTTTTGCAACCTTCTACACCCCATGATCACAGCTTTTGGGGCTAGAGGAGCACATGTCTCCTTATCCCGGGTGTAGAGTGTGACCCCTGGGTAAAGAATCCGGGCCCCAACTCCACTCCCAGACTGAGACCACTGCCCCATAGCTCACAGACCACCTCCATCTGCCCAACTCCGGGGCCTAAGTGGAAGGGAAGAGCGTGAGGGGTAGGAATGGGAATGGCGAGTTCACACTCAGGAAAAATAAAACTCCCCCCAAATTAGGTGCATTTTTAAAATTTAGATTTTATCATTCAGGTATGACAAGGCCAACAGATCAGGAGATGACTGCCATTGGATAGTTTGTTAATACTCAGAGATCCTGCCCTGGCCAGTTTGGTTCAATGGATAGAGCGTCGGCCCGCAGACTGAAGGGTCCTGGGTTCGATTCAGTAAAGGACATGTATCTTGGCTGCAGGCCCAATCCCCAGGGTTGGTCATGGTGCATGCAGGAGGCAACCAATGGATGTGTCTCCCTCACATCGATGTTTCTCTCTCTCTGTCTCTCCCCTTCCCTTCCACTCTCTCTAAAAATCAATGGAAAAATATCCTCAGGTGAGGATTAACAAACAACAACAAAATACTCACAGATCCCAAGAAAAGGGGGGCATGCCATGGGGTGTGGGGGATGGGGAGAG